AATTGCAGGATAGCATTTCTGGGAATAAATTCAGGGCTATAGTGTCTGCAGAGGATGGAGGCAGAGGGATTTGGGGGATGGGAAGCAGAGAGTTACTAGGTTTCGGGGGATCTTATGCTATTATTAGGTGCAGGACAAGATAAGACTAGGTTAGGGTGTATATGAGCAAGGACATATGATTGACCTCATCTAGGAGCCATTGGGATTAGAAGGAAATACAGAGATCCAGAGAGTCCAGTGTCTAGAGGAGAAATATCTCTATAAGCAATATTCCGTTCTCCTTTCAGAAAACCACTCGCTCCTTTGCTGGCCCTGATTCTCCTTTCTTTCTAGGAAAGAAATAAGTAATATTCTACTTCTGATCATGATAGTCTTTTTCTTTTCTGGACAAGCAGTTGGTTTCTCTACCAGCCTTTGACTGAGTTCAACACTTTAGTTCAAATATTAAAAGCTAAAAGTTGTGAAGCCCAAAACAAGTCTTATGTGACTAACACAGGATACTGAAGAGCTCATCAGGAGGTATATGAATATGATTATCTCTAAATATCACCTGTTGCTTGTGCTACCACAGTGATAAGATTCTATGTAAAAGCAGATGTTCATTTTTACAGAATATAAAATCTTACGTGAGTGCAAGGTTGTTGGCAGTACAGAGGCAGCTTTGTCAGAGTAGGCCACATTACTGAATTACAGTTCCCCGCAAAGCCGGGGTGAATGTCAGCCCATCTTACATAACTGTTTTACAGTCAGAGGCATGTCACAGCTGAGTGTATAAGTCATTAGCAAATGCTATTTCACCTCAGTAGAAAAGATCTCATACCTCTTTCCATATGTTTAACCAGTTATTCTAAGCTGCTTTTCTTTCACTGCTTTTTTTAAAATTATTATTTTTATCAGCCCAGCCCTGCTTGTCATTTTTTTTTAATGATGAAATTCCCATAGATTTTTTTTGTTACTGATTCAGAGCTTTATAGTAAAATTAAAAAAAAATAAAAGTTTGAAGACAGACTTATTAGCCATTTGTGTGTGTTATTTTGCTCCTGCGGGATTAAGTACTTCTAGCACCTTTGGAAGGTACATTCTTGCCTATAGGTTAGGCATGTAGGAGGCTAACATGGGGGTTAACATGTGAATCTTTGGCACCTTGCATAAAACCCAGCTCTCATTTCCCAAATTTGTTGATGTTCTGGATATTCCCTGTCAGAATTGTCTGCAGCTGTATGTGATGGTGTGGTGGTTTGGGTGGATTCACCCTTTTTGCTTGCAGCTTGCAGCCAAACACAGCCTGCTCTATCACCCTCCCCCTCCCTCACCCAGGGAGTAGGGGAGAGAATTGGAAGGAAAAGGGCAAGGAAGCTCACGGGTTGAGATAAAAACTATTTACTAATTAAAATAAAATGATAATGATAACAACAGTGATAACAGACTTATGCAAATGAGTGATACACAATGCTCACCTCCCGCTGACCAATGCCCAGCCTGTGCCACCTAGTGATCCCAGAGCCCAGACAGTCCCAAAACTGAAACCCCAGAAGAGTGAGCCTGAGCAATCCCCAAGAGAAATACCCCCATCTTCCAGTCACCCCTGGTTAATATACTGACATGATGGGATATGATCTGGAATATCCCATTGGCACATCCAAATGCCAGTTTTGGGTTTTGCTATTCGCTAAACTTCTCCCTCCCAGTCCTAATGCAGCTGTGAACCAGCCAAACACCGTGGCCTTGAGCTCCAGCAGCAGCTAATGACACCAGTACTGTTATCAACATTCTTCTCATAAGTCTGAACTGAAACACTGAAACTGAAATACACCTATTCTAATGACTAAAAAGAAAATTAACTCTATCCTAGCAAAACCAGGACAGATGGGCACACATTTCTATTGTTTAATCTTTACGGATAATGGAAGATGTTGTGAGGTTAATATCTGATGGATGAGGATATCTTTCATAATTCAAATACATGTCTCCCAGCCTGGTTGTACTTCCACCAAGGCTATCAGCATAACTTCCAAGCCCTGATTTTTTAACTCTAATAAGGTGTTCACTCACTGTGGCACAAATACAGCAGTTCTGTTACATGTAGAGTCATTTCTGCCCAAGAGTAGTGCAGGAAGAATTTTCCCTCAGGTTGTAATTACAGGACATACGCTTTCTATAGCACTCTCTTCAACACGTAGGTGGTTGTGGATTGCTTTTTTTTTTTCCCCATGACTTGTGATTTAGTAATGCACTGTTGTATTATAGTAGCGCAGCCTATGCCAGCATTTCCATTATAACCTGTTTTTACAGGTTTATAACTCAACAGTAAAAACGTACTCTTCCAATTTGAAACTTGGCATATAATATCTCATCTCATCCCATCCTCAAAATGATAGTTTTTTTCTTTCCCTCCACCTTGCCTGCCCTCCCCCACCAAAAGAGGTTGCATTTTTGCTGTATTTTTAAATGGAAGATATTGTCCTTTCTGTTTTGATAAGAGAAAAGCTTACCTGTTTATTAAAATAACTTTTCAATTCTAAGAAAGGAGGACTTTATAATAAAGGATGCATGTGAATAAGTGTTGTTGATGTTAGAATGACCACATTAAGTATATGGATACAGAGACGTATTACCTTCCAAATGAAAGCTAGGGAATATTGATCAAAATTATTGAAAAGCTGTTTTTTTTTAATGTTGATTTTGTTTCTAGCTGTTGATTTTACCCTTAAAATAGTGTTCTCAAATGTAAATATGTTTTACTGCTGCATTCTTGTTTGTCAGGCTGAATGAAGTAAAGGAAGACTTTACTGCCTATAGATAAAATAATGATATTTTTTCCTCTTTTCTTGTGTGAGAAACACAGTACAGAAAGAACATAAATTCTAACTTTGGTGTTGACACCAACTACCAAAAGTAGACTTGTAGTTAGCACAACGTTATGAATCCAGAGCAGGCGTAGACCAGCAAAGCACAATGTTTTCAGTGGACAGATGCTTGTGTAAACTAGGAAATCTAGCACTGAATGACTAAGAAATACAAGGCTTGTATGGTCCTTACAGTTTACACTGTCAAGACCTGAAGCTCTAAACCCAAGGCCTCCTATGAAGCCTCACATTCCAATTCAATATAGTATAGGTGTTTAGGATATAAGAAAATCAGAACTGAAATCTAGTTTCTCCTCCTTTACTTGTCTCCTTGGAGCCACCCTTTTAGGAGTTGAAATCTGCCCAGTTGCCATTAACAGGAGTTTCCTCACCTCTGTGAATACCACTACCTCTGCGAACACAGCAAGAAACCTTCACTGTGTTTTTTGTTGTTGTAGCAATTTTACTTCCAGGCATTTCTTTTTTCCATTTAGATACTTGAATTTATGCTTACCATATCCACTTTAATGGTACTAATTAGGAGAAAGAGTATGCAAGAGAGAGATTTCACAGAGGGTGTTTATTAATGAATTGAACTATTATTTTGTCATATATTTGAAAACTATCAACATATATACATTATGCATTCTTACTATAGCTAAGCTGTCTTTCTTTTAAATCCCAACCGTTTTACTTTTTCAGTTGTCTCTAATATGTCTATTTTAAATATAAAAGTATTATGAAAAGCAGGGAATGTGCTTCCTAATAAGAAGTTCATTTCCTCCATTTGGATTCTAAAATCAGTAATTAGGTTGAAGACTATTTTGTATCCATAGGCAGCACCAATGGCTCTTAGATATAAAATACAATAGCTGTACATGGAACTGAATTTTTTGAGGGTATAAAATTAGAATGCTCATCCCTTCCTCACATCAGCTTTAGTCCAGTCCATCTCTGCCAAACCAGTGGGATTCTGCAGTGTAAAATGAATGCAACACCGTAAGATTCAGATCCTCTTTTTTTTTTGCAGGAAATAAATTGCAAGTCCAACAAAACTTCCAGGAAGTATCATGCATGCTTGGCGCAGTCAGTAGTTTCAGTGTGTAAATCCAAGTTTTCTGTTATAAGACTTGATTGTCCATTTAACACTGGTAGCTCCTATAAAAGAATGTTGTTTATATTTCTGGAATATACAAAGAAAGAAATGATACTGAGAATCACTGAAGTACTTAAATCAACCACAGCACCATTTACTGAAAATATCTTCAGCACCATGGGGACTGCTATTGCTATTATAGAAAAGCAGAAAATTCCCAGCCCAGTCATGTTCACTTGAGCAATGGAAATATTAAACACCTTATGATGCTAGACAGAGAACACACTATTGCTTTCATTTTGTATGATGCTGCCACTAGAAACGTTTCTTGCTCGAGTCTGTGTGGAGGGCACACAGTAATAGCAACAGATGGATGCTCATCGTAAGACATGGCTGAAGATATAGCAGATTCATTTTTTTTTAGGCTTTGATAATCTAAAATATTCCTTCATTTAATAATATTCCATGTATAATAATTGGTGAACACAATGTAAATAAATTAAAATTCAATTTGACTTACAGGTATAATGTTAAAAGACATTAAATGTTCTTTATGTAACTTCAGTGGCAGCCATGCAATATATTAAAATTATATTTGTATTTTCATAATAATACTTGTAGAAGTTGCAATAATCGTTAAACATAAAATACTGCTGTGTTGTATATTTTCCTAAAACTGAGGAATATGTTAGCAGGTTTTTTTATATGCAGTGATATTATGGTAATTATTAACTCTTATAATTTAATTTCTTCTCATGAATTTCCAGCACCATTTTTAAGGGGCCACAGAACATAACATCTTCACTGCACCTGATGGCAGTCATCATTGTAATTACTAAGTACCCATAGCTGACTGTTTGAAGTTTTGCTGTAAATTCAAATCAGAATGTGAATGTTATTGGAAAACATGCAGTTACCTTTGGAGAGTTTATTTGTTAATCATGTGCAAATCGCTGTCAAAATTATAGGAGTGTGACAACCCATGTGAATTTATCTAATTGTTTTGTGCTGCTGTTTGTATAAATTTTACAGGGAATAAATTTTGCATTTGTTCGTAGGCACAGAAGAAGCGGAAATCCAATGAATCTGTAGATACAGAGCTCTGTCTTAATGAGGTAAGAGTGTGGATCCTGTATATTTCACAGCACAGGTGGCTCCCCATGATATGGGATGTTCAAAGTCTGTCAAGATTATAAATGGCTTACCTCACATTAAAGTCTTGTTAGTATTGTTATAAGTGGATAACATAATGTATTAAAGAATGATCTTACTCAGAAATCTGGAGCTGGGCTCAAAGCAGCCTCTTCTGACTTTGTATTTTAATAGCTGTGTAGTACATGCTTAGGCAGAGCCCATGGTAATTACCATTGCACCTAGTGAGTATAATTAGTTAATAATCTGCAGGAACACAAGATGATACGGCTTTTAACAAATACATACAAGTATGCTGGACATCATTCTGTAGCTAACAAAAGTGACCAATTTAGGGCATGAGATAATGTTCACATCAGGAGATGTGATGCTTCTACATCAGGAGACAGATTGACAGCCCCAGGAGACATGAACCTCCCAGTGCTGTTTGAATAGTCTGCTCCACCTGACCTCCAAGGCCTCCTTTCAGATGTAAACATTACATCAGTTTCCATGTCTGTCAGTCCATATCCTTTGTACTGAGTCTCCCAGGAAGCTTGATAATTAGTTGATGTACATAAATCAATTTTTACAATATGGAAGAGACCGTATCTTTGAGATTCTCCTTCATCAGTCCAAATTTGCAAAGTTCTTCTAAACAATGACAGTTCTATAGCCCATTCCTAATTCTTTAGATTCTATTAAGAATTTCCTGTAGATATTAGAATGAAGCCTAATATCATGTGAGGGATCAGTGCAGGAACGTGAACAGATCTGTTGACATCTTGTGCTGGCTATAAGAGCTTTAACTAGAAGGAAGGCCCTAGTAACTGTAGTTTACTGTAAGAACTGCTGGTCCATCTTATCCCATACTCTGTCTGTGACAGTTTCCAAACAGCATATGCCCAGGGCTGAGTATAAGAAAGCATATTGTGATAATTCCTCCAGTGTCTCAACTAGCTCCATCAGATTACATCTCAAGGCCTTCTAGTTAGCCAGTCCTAGCAGGTGACAGCAAAGTGAAGGAATGGCACAGAGCTCTATCCGTGAATGCTTCCCTGGCTCTGCAGACAGTCATTCCTGTGGAAACTGGTGCTCTATTCTCATTCTTTGTATCTGTTCTGGGTAATTCTGGCTTGTACCTTGGCCCATTGCCTCTCCTGGACGGGTGGAAGCTTATCCTGTCTGTTGGGTCTGTGCAACTTGGCATAGAGTAGATTGGATTTAATGACTTTAGAGGACCCTTCTAGGCTAAATTGTTCTGTTTCTGTGATTATAGCTGTTTGATTTTAATTTTTTTTAAATGAAGATGGTAAGTGATAAGAAATATTCCTGTTGCACCTCCTCCATAAATAGCTCACTATAATCTGCTAATCTGTACTTGCATATACATACTGTTTAATTATTTTTAGCAAAGAAGACAAGGAATGTAAATGATGCAGCAATTAAGGGAAAAAAGGCATGAGAAAGATAATTTTTCTTAAGTTAGAAACCTCTGTCTTTTCTGATCCCATGAATTAGATTTTATCTATTGTTATCCAGAAGTAACTTGTTATCAAACAAACTTGTTCTGTTGACTGTGCAGAAGTTGCAGTTTCTCTGTGGATCCTGCATTTCCTTTTTAAAATAAACTGGCATGTTAAACACAAATCAGTAAAAAAATTGCCATGCTTAAGGATAGGTTTACATGGAGAACCACTGCTAAAGTGGGGATTTTTTTAATACTTCATCTTTTATTTTTAATTGTGTTGTACTGCTGTTTTTATCCTTTAAACTAAACTTTGAAATGCTGTCATTTTAACATCTAGTTTTGTGCCTTTTGTATCTTTCAATCTGTGACAGTGATATATAGGTGACAGCGAAGGATGAGACGTGAACAGACAAAAGATTAATTTCATGATGTAGATTTAAGTATTTTGCAATGAAAGTGTGTAATGGTGACCAAGGAAAGTATTGTGTCTTGCAGAATGCTATTGGGAAAGACAACACAGCAGGAGTCTCCACCAGTCACATATCTTCGGAGAATTCGTTTGCTCGTCCTACAAGCTTCTGTCTAAGCACACAGCTCACTCTGATGACACTTGCACTCTCATTCTGTTTGTTCCTAAGCTCATCAGTCGTCTTGTAGCTGCATTACAAAAGGACATGTTTAAAAAAAAAAAAACAACACAAAACAAACACCAATAAAAATCTGTTTCCTGTCCTCTGTTGTTTATCTGGAATTCCAGGTCTGGGAGCTAAGCTGAGGCACTCCTGCTAGAACAGTTTCAGTCAGCTGGAATTTTTTTTTTCTCTCTCTAAAAAAGCTTCTTGTGATCTTTAGAGGCTTTGTGAAATACTTGGTGCAGTGCTACATTCCAAACCCAAAAGGCTTTTGGGCATGCAGTGTGTAAAGAGACAGTGTGTAAATTTGCCTGTAAAGTGACCTGGTTGGATTATTTTAATAATAATTATTTTAATTACGGCCTTTACCTGAGGAGGATGGCAGTTTTCTTAAGATCCTGTTTATCTCATTGAATGGTTTTGGTTTCCAAATTGATTGAACTTCAGACTATGAAGGATGCCAGGCTTTTGTCTAACAGTGAATGTTCTCCCAGAGAGTGGACTTTATGAAACTTATTCATTTGATAAATTGCTACTGATGTTAAACTCTTTCAGTGTATTAGCATTTTCCTCTTTAAATGTTTATGTACTGTAAGTAATTCTGCATTCCCTGCTGAGAAGCCATTATATTTCGCATACAGGTATAATGTACATCTTTCAGTTAAATTCTCATAAAAATAGAGTGTGGCATAGAACTTTCTAACAGTACATTTATCTTTTAATTATAGTCATCTAGCCTTAACAAAGGTGAAGATACTTTAAATTAACAAGAAGCAGCCATTGTGAAAGCTTGACAGAGATACATTTCTTGAAATTTGAGGATGAGCGGTAGAAACGAATTTGCTACAGGGTTTCAGCTGTACAGTCTGTGGTCTTCTATGCTTCCATTGTGATGATATAGTCCAGTAACTATACTGTTTGTTTAATAAAAAATGACGTGCAGTTTATTTGCTCTACTAAAACAGTATTATCTTTTTATACATAACTGATAGTGTCAGCTCAAAACATTACAGGAACTTCATGCCTTACTTCTCTTATCACAGCATTGTAGAGGGAAAAGAGGTAGTAGGATATCATTTAAACTGTGTTTTATTTCTTAGACTGCTAAAATCAACACAAAAGCATGGTTGATCCAATTACAAGGCAACATCATGCGCAGTCACCCATGACAGGCTTTTCTCACCCTGGTAGTTGTTACTGCAGACCTTGGCATTGATGACATGATGAACTGTTTGCAAGACCAGTTCCAGAATATTACCGGTATATGTGATTTGATTGTCTTGGTTCTCATTCAGTGACATTGACAGCCTGTGCTGGCTCATGGTGATTTTGTGTGGTATCTAGAAGGAATTCTTTAAAGCTTTAAATGTCATCAAGCAGGCAGCGTTTCTCCTAAGGGCTGTCTTTATACCTTACTGTGATGACTTGTTGACTGTTACAAGCAGTTATGTCTAAATGATCAACAGTAATCAGGTTTTGTTTCTACTGAAAGCAGAAGATAACTTCACCAAACAAGGAGTTCATCGTGTTGAATTTACAGATTTACACTGAGACTTACACAATTATGCCCCGGCCTACTCTGAAATGTCCAGATCAGTTACTTGCAATACAGCTATAAAGTCAAATTAGTGTTTTATAAGCTGCAATGAAGTTTGAGAGTGTGCAAAATACACATCTTACTAAGAGATTATTAAACCTATTGAAAAATTAATCTTTTGAGCTTTTTCTTAGCTAATAATAAACACTTTCATAAATGCTGGAATTCACTTATGTACTCTTGATTATGGTCACATAATATAGGTTTCAAACACTGTGCCACTGATAGAATTCTAGGATACTCTGTGCCACTGAACATAACAAATTAGACAATATTACTCTTTAATTCTGTGCTGATAAGAAACTGCAAATTACTTTCAAAGGCATCAGAGCTGCTTTCGGAGAAGAAATATATAGCACATCATTACCAGCAAAGCCCATGTGGTTCCTGTTGCTCTTCTTGTAGGAGCTAATCAAATTATTGAAACCTAGTGAAAACAGAAAAAAGATTACGAGATTCATGATTTAAAAAATAAATCAAATTATTTTATGTCAAAAAGAGTTGATAGTATAACCTATTGAAATGCAAATGAACATAGCATTATAATTCCAAAGTCTCACATTATCCAATTAAAAATATTTTCAAAACAAATTCATAAACATTACAATCATTAAATTAATCTTTGATCCACGAAGCTTTCTTTAAAATATCATTTGTATTCAGCACAGTAAACATTTTAAGCAGTATTGGGAATTTTAATAACCTCCCAGTATAGTACATACTTTTTGAAGATTTTTTACATTTGGTTTGATTACAGTACCTCTGTTACTTTTAATACCAATTATTAGAGCTTTGACACTGAATAAAAGCTATTGATCACATACTGTAAACAACAACCTAATTAAGTTCTGATTACAAAAGAAATTGCTAGTTATCTGATTCAATGTGAGTTACCTTTGGAAATACAATTATGTATGTAGGAGAGGAAGAAATGGTGTTTTATACAGCTAGCCGTGTTACCACAAACAAAACAGAGCACTCAAGCTTTTTTTCCCATGTAAATTGAAAGCATACTGCATTCTTAATTAAAAAAAAATAAATTGCTTATTAAACAGGCAAAAGGGGAAAAAAAATCTTAAGAGTCTGACACTTAATGAGGTTTTTAAAGGCATCACCATGCAAATACTGGAGAATTTTTAGAAGTTGGATGTGGTGTGGATGATGTCAATTTAGCGTGGTGACCTTGTCAATGCAGTCATTTGCTACAGTACTGAAGTATGCAAATTGTTTAATTTTTTTCCCTTTCCAGTCACTAAAATGCCATGTGTTGAGTGCTCAATGAACAAGCTTACGCTGAGCTTTATATATGCCTTTAGTACATTAATTTTATCAATATAATAATGTGGGAATTGTCCAAACACAGAACATAGGTACAGGTGATCTACTGTTTAAAATGTAAATTTAACCAATTCAGTTGTGTGTAAATTAAATCACGGGCTACCATAAACATACACAAATAATCTTTTCCATTTAACATAATGGAAGAGACATTGTCATTAGTATTATTAGGAGTGTGTACACTCTGATTACTGTGTTTATGCTTCTTCTTAAAAGTAGTACACATAAAGATAAAATTCAGACTGGACTGAAATACATGGCCAAGGGTTTGCACTGTTTAACATATATACTGATTTCCAGAAGCTAGTCCTATGAAGAGGCACTGAAGTTGAACCTTTCAGATATTAGTAAAAATAATAACAATTGAGGCTTTCCCCTTGCCCCAGGGCAGGAGAGCCAGTGCAGGCAGTGACATCCACCAAAGGGCAGCAGCCCTACTGGAGTGTCTGCGCAGTGATTTGATCAGTAAGGAGGAGTGTCCCTCTAAGACCCAACCTTTTGAATGTGAGGCTGTTCACAACTAGAGCGATTTTGCAGTTTGCATCAGTAGACTGAAAACATGGAAGTATAAATCTTTGCTAAACCCATGCAATTAGGCTGCAGATGAAGAAAACAGAATCACCTTGAAATCTCAATCTAATTTTAATTTGTGATTTTTGGCTTAATCATGATGATATTTCCATGGAGGAGAGATGGTGAGAAGCCAGTGAAGGAGAAGTGCAAAACTCAGAACAGCTCCCTGAAGTGTCATACATTTTGTGTATGCCAAGTGGCAGGAGTATCTCATACTTAGCTTGAAGTAAAAGAGCTGGATTATGCTAGGAACAGCAGCTCCTTCAGAGCAAGCAGTAAAAGATGGAAGAATGGGCGTTACTTGTGTACCAACTGCAACTTTCTTTAATAAAATGCAATTGTTTGTCTTCAACACCCAGGTGGATCTACCTCACTGAAAAATGTATGTTCACTGACAGGATTTCTGCATTAAAACTACTCTGGGCTAAAGAAGCCCCCAAGGTTGTTTTATGCCCATAAGGTTAGTCAGATTCTACCTGATGTTCCTGACATCAAATAGACATATATTTGTTTCTGATGAACTTGTCAGATAAATTAATCAAGTGACTTGTTAAACATTTCTCATCTTTAAATATTTGCTTTTTCTTACCAGCACAGTTCTTTCTGTGACATTTCAATTATTGGCTATTTCAGCTTTTCCTTTAACTTTGGAAGGTCATTTTCTCCATACTCTACAGAATCCACTTAATAGATTTGCCTGAGTGTTATGTTTTCTTTTAATTACAGCCTTCGTTTCTGAGAAAAAAATACAATCAGGAGTATGTCTCTACCTAATGACCAATACCTTTAAAGGGAAAGGAAATTGCAAGTTCCTATTTTATCTGTTTAGCACTGGTTTGACTAGAACAAGCTAAAACACAATGTTGCTATTCCCCAGGTAAAAAATAAAATTTAGTTTGGTACCAAATAAGGATTAAAAAGTTTTAAACTCTCACAATTTTTAGAAATATTTGAATACTTCTAATGTATTTTCCATTTGGAATTTCAGTCAAATAGGTAAAAGTCTTACTAAGTAGTATTTTTTCCAAGAGTAAGAAGTTTCATTGGGAAATTTTGATGGGTCTATTTTTAAGGTTAAATAAGGGAGAGTGGTGAATTCCCGTTTTTAACTCAATACTATCTTGACTTCCATACACCCTTGTTCCATGTTGTCTTCATCTGTTTACCTTTAGGGGGTGGTTATGCTTAATAGATATATATATGAGATATGGTCACCTCAGTAATCAGAAGCCAAGTCCTGCAACTCCTACTTACATGCTCCATCTCTTTTATCATTCATAAAAGCCAGAGCAACAAATTTAAGGTGTAGCCTAAAGGTTATCTGGAGTTTAAAAGAGCACAGAGTGAACCAATTCCTCAGTAGCATTTCTTATCAATATAGATTGTGGTATTATAAATTGGAACCACCTAGACTAGGCACTGAAGTTCTCTGAACACATTTAACCAGAGCAGCTGCAGTTTCTGCTGCTTTACCTTTTCCAGGTGCCAATAGCTGAACTTTGGCATGCATACACTTGGAGCTAATTGCTGCCTAGATTACAGCAGCCAAACCTGATCCCACTTCAGCAAGGGTTCCCCTTAGCCCATTTTCTCCTTCTTTTAGTGATTCCAACACACTTTAATTCTTTTATACTACTTTTTAATCTCTCTAAAGGAGAATTTTCGAGAATCAAGATTTCAGGGTAATTTTCTTCAAATTCCTCCTGCCAAAATACCACAATAATTGACCTCTTTCCTTATGGATTTCTGTCCTCTAAACCATTGAATAACCCCTTGCGCAGTAACTTCAATCCTTCTGAAACCGAGCAGGAATTTGGGGAATTCAGCTTCTAGTAATTTTTCCAGGCTTCTTCAAGACACTCATTCTATGAATTGGTGTTATGGTGAAACATAAGTCACTAGAGATGGCATTGGCATTACACTGCTCCCCATGTTGGCCACCTCATGTCAGGCACTTTTCCAGCATTGGTACCAATGATGCAGAGTTCCTCATGACTCCTTCAGTTGGACATTGCTTTGACAGTAGGAGATGACATTCAAAGTCCTGCTGTTGTAAGTGCAAAAATGTTATGTCTTTTATTGTTTTATTCTTGTCTGAAATACAGCCCCCGCTCCACCCTTTTCTGAATTCATTTGCTCTATCTACTTGGAAGCACCAAAGAGCTGCAAATGGTTGACTCATGCCACCAAGTTCTTGGTATCAGTCT